TAAGAGAGTTAAATAGAATAGCCTTGGACATAATATATCCTTGAAGTGCCAGCAACTTAAGATCAAGTGTTTAAATTACTTGAGGGAAACATGGCTACATATTGGATGAATATATACATCACATTAATTACTAAGGCAAAGATGATTGAAATTGAGCGTCAGAACCTATAGAGAAATTAAGGGAAGTACAGTAAATGAAATCTATGGTGAAAAACTTCGGTTTTTCGGTTTAACCGAAAATCGAATCATCAAAACCGATAATCGAATCGAACACCAAACTTTCAAAAAATATAAACCGCATGCCAATCGATTAAATTGAAAAATCGAAACCGAAAAACCAAAATTTTTGGTTTGGCTAGTTTTTCCGGTCCGGTTAGTATTATGCCCACCCTTAGAATATAAGGCATAAAATTAATGCTTAAAGGGAGTTTTACTTATGTGATACGTTCCACCTTTCGAGGAATGGCCTCCACTCGGCAGGTACCAGGTTAGCTGTCCTTACCCGGACAAAACGTCCTTGCCAACCCCGATCCCGGTCCTCGTCAATGCTCGAAGATTCGAGGACTGTACAAGCGGAGTAGATGATCGATGGTGAACGAGCACCCATCGATTTTATTCACAAAGAATCGGAGGAGGATCACGATCCTCCACAGAGATGGATGAATTTGGCCAAGGCATACGTTGTACCTTCTGCAGAAGTCTAAGATGATCGGGTACACCGGGTCCAATGTAAAGGGATAAGTGTAAACACTTAGATCTCTCGACATGGGTAGTAATGGCCTCCTCGGAGCCAGGGACCACTATGTCTTTGTCGGCCCAGTTGTAGTGTTTTCGGACCGAGGGGAGGACCTATTCGGTAATTGAGCAAATGTATCTCGAGGCCTCCTTTCCCCGACACTATACCGAAGAAGGCTTCTCAACCTTGAAGTCGTCGGTGATCGAACAACACCCAGGAATGAATATTTTCTAGGGGGCTCTTCCGCCGGTTCATCAACAACCAATTCAGGGGCGGTCTCCTTGACCTCAATAGTCGGCCGCGAAAAAGGAAGGGCATCCTTTTGAGGAACAGATTTTGAGGTTTTTCCCATTGTTATGGAGGAAAAGCTTGGAAAATATAGAGAAAGATTGAAAGTTGAAGGATCAGAGTTGTTGGCCTGAGTTGAAGATGAGTAAATTTTTTGCAAAATACTGAAGAACCATGAGTGATGGAAGTAAGAATGCTAGAGAGTATTGAAATCGTGAGGGTACGAGGGTAGAAGGTTTAACGTGAAGTGAAAAATGAATGAAGGATGAGGTATTTATAGGGGTTCAGCGACGTTTCGCGTCCAGGGACAGTCGACTGCCGGCTGACACACATTTAACGCAATTATGACATGACTGACGAGACGTTTCGGGTGTTTTTTCGTCTTTGTCACGACGTATCGAAGAAAGAATCAGGAGCTCATGTCGTTTCTCGTCATTTACTCTCCGAGAAACAAGGGAACTATCTGTGTACGAGTAAAACCGGCTCACGGTACACCCCGATCGCCGATATGGGAAAATCGAACTCAAAACATTATGATGAATGACCGAAATCAAAACAAGGGTCTCATCGAGTCAGAGTCCGGGGGAATGCCGCCGGCCCTCGAGAATATCGGGATCATGATCTGGGATCGGTCCTAATTCCGAAAGACTTTGGGGAATATTGTCGGACAATCAAACACGATCAACAGAAGGCTGTGATATTGGCGATCAGCACAGTGTGGATCTCGCACGTATCGATAAAGATCCAGCAATCAGTTAAAGCAGAAGATTTTTTGCCTTTTATGTAACTGTACCTAGAGTAGGATTCCTCTACTATATAAAGAGGGTCTGATAATTCAATAGGCACTTTTGTAACACGCATTCCAAAGCAATATATTATTATTTTACTATTATCAAAGTTATTTTTCTTGTTCATTCATACTGGCCACTGTGAGCCCGGATCATGGGTGAACGTTACATTAAGGCTAGAATCATTCTCCTTGCGTGGTTTGAATCTACTATACCTTTACTTGTTCATTCTAATTCAATCTATCGTTTTTGTATAAAACTAATCCGCGTATTCTTAAAATCACATACAAATTCAATTGTTATTCGATTTTGAGGGTAAACAAGATTTTCACTTTTACTTGTTTTCTTTCGCATATCAAGAGAAAAATAATTTATTTTTTCTGTTTTGCCCTTAGCATTAATTACTTATTCCAAATAATTTTTCAAATTCATTAAGACTATACACCAATTAATATGGGTATTATGGTAAATTATACACTTTATTTATTATTTCTTAAGGGGTGTGTAAAGTCAATAGTTGACAAGTAAAAGTGAACGGGGAGTACATTTTAGAAGCTTCACATATGTATCGGGAATTTTTTTATTTATTTATTTTTTGGTAGTATATATAAGCAGGAGGAAGGGAGGAAGGGTAAGCAAAGGGCTGGTGATCAGTAGGATTGTACTACTACTAAACACTTTAGGATAGACTTAAAGAGTTACGAGTGAGCATCCACCTAATTTTTGCACGTAAAACAAAATTTACATGACCACTTCTTTGGGAATCGCATTTTTCTTTGGGAATCACCTAATTTGAATTTTGAAACTCTAAGTGAGATATCTATTTAATATTAAGAAAACGATCGAACAAATACAGAACTTGAATCATATCTCACTCGGCTTAATATAGGGGAAACAGGAAATGAATGTAGAATTAAGAACAACTAGCAAAAATTGAAAAGAAAAAAAAAAGACGCTGAATTAAGATTTATAGACACCCTTATAATCCAGCGTTACAATGTAGAAAAAAGAAAAATGTGTTGTCAGTCTATATATCAAGACTAGGGGGAAAGAGAGATTGTGTACAAAATAATTTACTAAGCTCTAATTCGAAGAGATGTTAGTTAAAAACTAGATATGTGATAAAAAGCAGCATACAATGTTAGACAGAGATTAATATAAGTATAATTTTGAGTTAGAACTTAGATACATATACCATTAAATTTTGCAAGATTAGCCCCCGATAGAGCCAGGATTTTTTCTCGACATCCCATATGTAAAATAAGTTCTAATCTTGCAAAATTTACTAAGCTTTTGTTCTTGAATGAGAGGACCGATCTGTTTTGGAGTGTTCTTTAAGCGATTTACGGGTGGGTCGGATAAAATGAACCGGGTCGTGGGTTAATTAAAAAATAGGGGTAGGTTTAAATCATCCAATCAAAGACTGTCAAGTGGATATTTTAATTTTAAATGGCGGAGTAGACGGTGGAGGGACATTTTAATTTCTGGTCACAAACGGTAAGGATTTTTTTTAATTAAATAGTATAACGGGGGGCAAATATGACTTATTTTAGATTGTAGAGGGTCATTTCTGGCCCTTTTCCGTATGTAAAATGATATTACACTTGACCCAATCCAGTAGAGGGTTTTCCCATATGACTACAACATTATGCACGTACAGTTCTCAAGAACCTGATAGCTAAATATGATTTTTTTAGCTACGGTTGATGCAACTTGAATAATATTCAAGGGAAAAAAGGGGAGGGGCAGAAATTAACAGGCTAGTCCGTATACTTTGTCTTGAGGACTATAACTATAAGGTGTGTATTCCTATTGCCTTCAACTAATAACCAAGGGGGAAAGGGGGGGGGGTGCAAATTTATGCTTCTAGTATATATGGGAGGTTTAACATCCATAGTTTGGACTTTGGAGATTGACGCCCAAATTCAGAGGTTTTATGTGCATCTCTGTTTGTTCTTTTTTCTTAACAAAAATAAACATCATAAAAGATACCAATTAAAGAAAATAGGGGACGAATTTCATATTGTGGTTGACTTTGACATGCAAGATTTTATATATATATATTAAGTATTAAAGATAGATAGATGGAAGTAATCCATGAGAAACTAGTATCACATTAACTGCAGCATAAATACAGGATGAAGGATATCAATATGGGCAATATAGACTAGCACCACGTTGCAGAAGAGAATATGGCTACTATTCTAATTTCTAGGAAGAAGTTGCTTATTGGTCTTGTATTTACACTATGAGTTTTATGTTGAACAGACAAAGCTAAAAATACGTAACAGGGACAATATCAACATATCTATGAGAAGTTCTTGGCGAGCATGTCTGACTGGTTGACCATTTACTATTCTCTTGTACTTATTTGTTCGTTCTTTTCTTTTTTTTTTACAACATTTTTGGTGTGCATGATGATTAGCTAACTTCTTCAGCATTCACATCTAAGTCGAAGAGACCCAAGATTGGGATACGACATGCGAATAGAAAATAGATTTTTAATCCCCACCCCACAAAAAATACATCATCTTTAGGTTGTCTTGTTAAGAAGTTGATAAAAAAGTGTACCCAATTAAACCAACCTTATTCAACTTCGTAAATAGAAAAAGAACACTCAAAGTAACAATCATTACCGCACCACTTCAATTATATATCCCCCGCAAGATGTTGATGTGTCGGTTAAATTCTCAACTACTGAATATAAATAACCAAGTCGGAATTTCAATTACTATGATTCTTGAAAAAAATCACGTTCAAAAAGATAACTGAAATTGGTCGACAACAAATCAGAACTCAGCACTGCAAACAACTAATAACGGACATTTGATAGGTGCCTAAAACATCTAGGTCAGTCCAATAGGCAATAACCTTTATAGATATACCACTTATTTTTCTCAGCGGAATAATTAACAATTTCATTTCCATTTACTAAATTCTTCCTCTTCCATAATCTACAGATCTAAGCCTCAGTCACAAACAAACAAACAAAAAAACCTGAGTCACTGTTACGTCTGGAAAACTTTGACAGTTAAGGATTAGGCCCAAAAATACCCAGCTACAAGTGTACAACTTGTGGATGAGCTCTATCACTTGCTTTGTGAAATATGGTCGTGTATAAGAAGATTGAGAACCAACACTGTGAACCTTCTTTATACAACAGCTGCAACTTCTTGATTACGCAATTGTTGCCTCGCTAAAACTTTGATCAACTGTCATTAAAGATTCCACGGAAATTATAAACGTCCAAAAACCAACAGAAGAATACAAGCTACAACGATTATCACACATGGCCACTAGACACAGCTAACTAAAGCTTTTGATCGTGGCTGCTAACTATTCAGAAACAAATTTAATCAAAGATAAAATTAAGGACTCATGCTTGAATTGTCATTTGGAAAAGCATTCATCAGGCCTTGCTCATACTGCATCACAGCTGGTGAATTCACTACGCCAATGGCAGTTGCCTCTGATAATTCCATATGGTATGTTGCAACATACTGCCAATAACTCAAAAAATCTGTAATGCAATATTGCCAAGGAACCTAAGTGGCTTTGGCCTTTTGCTAATAGGTTCCTTGAGGTACCCGGCCCTTCTTCCAAGGTTGTTCAGGTGACAAATCAATTGCATCCTTCAGCATAATAGAGGTTTCCCTCCTGTTCTTCCTCTTATGGGATTTCAGATAGTTGCCATTGCAGCCCTTTTTTATAGGCTGTGGGTATTCTAGAAGCAAAGTGTTCAGTTGCTACTCCTCAATAACGAATAAGCTGGAATCAGCTAGATCACTTCTGTATTCTCATGTAAAAATTAATCAAACAAGTTGAACACTCAGTATCTGATCAACATACTTTTACCATCTAGCCAGCACATATTCCATTCACAATATATTTCAATCAATTCTCCATCCCAAATGGGTCGGACATATGACTCCTCAATATGCCTTTGAATGCAAATTACGGGTTCAATAAGTAGGAACAAGTATCAACATTGGTTTCTGAAGTCCTAATGAAAAGAGGCTTGAGCAGACACCGCACATGAAATGGTACACAATAAGATCAGACACTACAGGTAAAATCGTGTACAAATGCAACAAAAAAAGAAGGCAACATAGCTCAATGGAAATGGTAAGACCAAGAGATCCTCACACAAAGTTTCAGTTCAATTCTCACTGCCCCAATACCTAAAACCCCCAGAGTTTGGATTTCGTTCATGACTCTAATATAAGCAATAGAATCTTCTTTCGTACGCACGAAATGCCATGTCTACCATTACTTGTACAAATAGCAATAGCGATATATTTACAAATGACTTCAAAATTCTAGACGGTCATCACATTGATTGAGAACAAGTTCTTACAGATACCGTGGGAACTAAAAGGAATTCATCTCCAGGATATAACTTCTACTCTTGAGCAACCTCTCCACGGCTTCTCCATACACTGCATCATCCCCAAATGCCGCTAATGCCAATCCTACATCTCCATTTTGTTCCTCTACCTCACTCCTCTCACCATTACCCTGATTAATTGGCCTCACAATCACCAATGTTGCTCCTACCATTTTCGTGCCATCGGAGAGTTCCATTCTAGCTTCGTGCCTCATCCTCATTCGTACAGCTGGCACAGTCGTACGATTGCACCGCCACCAAACACCAACGCCATTCCCACTGGTAGCACTATTCACCTCCGCTTCTTCGCCTTCGCCTTGGCTCTCTCTACATTCTCTCAATCCTTTCTTATCCATCACTACTTTGCCTTCATCTTCTCTGTCTTTGATCACCAAATTCTCCAGCTCCTTGTGCTCGTTTACGACTTCCATCATCATGTAATGCCTTGCTGATGCTGCTATCAACGCGCTAATTGTCCAAACTACCCTCATTTTCAAACCTCCCCCAGCTCCTCCTCCTCCTCCTCCGCCTAACTCTGCCTCTCCTCCGCCACCTTCCCCACCACGAAACCCTAAAATCACGCAGTTCTTTAGGGTTTTCCCAAACTCTGCCTTCCACTTAATTGTCGTGCCTTTCTCTAATCGGAGATCGCCGGACGGCAGCTCGATTTCAAGATTCCGGATCTTCTCGAACTCGCGCAGGATCTGGGCGGGTGAGTTTTGTGATCGGGTCGGGTTTGGGAGAGGCTTGCTTGGGGAAACGAGATGGTGAAGGGATTTGATGATGGATCTGAGGAAAGCAATGAAGAAGGAATCGTCTTCATCGTCGGAATCGGTGGCGGAGATAACCCGGTCGACCCGGAGGAGGAGCGAATCGGCTTGAGGAACCAAAGAGTTGAACCGTTTGGAAACGGAGCGACATCGGATTAGGGTTTTGATGTCGGAGATTTGGTTGAAGATTAGGTTGATAAGCGGGTCGGGTATCCGATCGAACCCGTCAGAGTGATCCAATTCGAACTCCATAGCCGGCGTAAAATTATTTTCCTCTGAAATGTTTTTTAAGAAATTAGGAGAAAGAGGAGTGGTTGGGTGTGTGGATATGAACGGGAAAGACAGAGAATTGGGTATTGGGCTCGGAAAATCGAGCTTTTTTAGGGGAGCGTAGATTTTGACCGTTGACCTGATATTGAGAGGGGGCCCTAGTGATATTTCTCTTTCTTTTAGCCTGACTAATATTAGTACGCGGGCTGCGCGAATACAAATATCAAATTATAATTTGAGTTATTGAAACTATCTTAAAATTTAAAATTTTCAGATAATACGTTTCTTTTTATTTATATTTTTATTTTAGAGTTGTAACAATCTGATTCCTTGATTTAATATTTGTATTTTATTTTGTAGTCAGTATTAAATAATACTAAACGCATCACGTTTGTGATATGTCTTGTTTGAGCATATTATTTAACAAAATTCTTATTATCACTTTATGTTTCACCACAAATTCGAATAAGTCTTATCTTTCTACATTTTCACCCAAAACAACTCTCTCTTTAATCTTTGCTTATAGTTATTGCATTATCTATTACTTAATAATGTTATATTCATGTGATCTTTAATTAGCTTACCAATTGACTTAATATCTTGCTTATTACCCTTTTGATAAATATATATAAATATAATTTTTTTATTCCTAAAATTTATTTATTTTTGTCCTTTATCCTCTTACTTGGAACTCTATTTTCATTTAAATCTTTCAATAATATTTTTGAGTATTATTTAATTATTTAATATACTTATATTTAATTAATTCAAAGTATAAATATTCTCACACTATCTCTATTTTCCTCTTTATACATCATCTTCCATACTATGAATTTTTAATTAGTTTTTACATTAATATTTTACCAATAAATAAAATATATAATATCACATTTTATTTTAAGTTATAACTTTGAATTAGTTTAAAATATTAATAGATAATTTTTTTATTATTATATTTTAAATCTATTGAATTTTCTTATAATTATTTTTCCCATTACGTGTAATTAAATTTTCTTTCTCTTTTAACGTTAGGATACAAATAGACTTTAATTTTCGTTCATAAAATTATCCACACGAGATATTTATTTTGCATTTCCTTAGTTTTAATTTGTTATCCAATTTTTAGTTTTTTTATCTAGTAAAACTTTAATTTTGTAGTCCTATCCATAGTTTGAGCGTTTCACCATAATTTTAATCAAAATCTCAAGTTCAAATCATCTTTCCCTTCTATTTTTAATATTAAATATTTTATTGTTATTAAGTTACCTAATATATAGTATTGTATTTTCTTATGTGGCTTTCATTAACATGCCTCTTTATTTAATATCATAATCTATTTATCCTTAATATTATTATATAAATCGATGTATGATTTTTTAATCTTGAAATAAATATTTATTTTATTTAAATTAATACCCAAAATTATCAAATTGTTTAAATTTATTAATAATATTTTTAAGCATTATATATTTACTTTATTTTATTTTTAAACTAATTCTTAGTATAAATAACCTCACATTATCTCTAATGTATTAATATTTTGATTTTTTAAATTTTTTTAATCTATTAAACTTCAGTTATGTGGCCTTATCCACATCATGACCATTTTTTATTATACTTAAAAAAAAACTTTTTTATATGAAATTTAAATAAGTTTTATCTTTTTTTGTTCTTTATGATAGAAATTTTGATTTTTTTTCTCTGTGTGTTTCTCATTTTGCTATTGAATACTTAATATTATTAACGTTTTCATATGCTTTTTATTAGTTTACTTGAATTTAATATCCACTTTGATCACATTCATTTTAATTTAATACAAATAATAAATAAAAATTATTTCAATAATAACTTTGACTCTATTGCTCATATTCTTAAATATGAATTTTCTTATCATATTAAAAATAAAGTCCCATCTCAAATTCAAATATATCTTATTCTTCTATTTTCTCCATTGGACCACATTTCCAAAAATCATCTTATACTTTCAAACTTAACCTAGCAATACTCAATTCAAATATTAATCGTAAAACTCTAATTGTTGCAACAATATTTTTACTATTATTTTAAGAAATATTTATTTATGTATAAAATATTTTTTGTCCGAGTCGTCAACATTAATATAACCTCATTATATATATGTGTGTGTGTGTGTATTAATATTTAATTATTTTTCCTACCATAATTGAATTATACACAAAATTTAATTAAAGATACCTACAGCAATGTATATTGCACCCAAATAAGGTCAGATACAAAGTTTATACATAATAAAGAATTACTATTTCAACTTAAAATTAATATGTAAGATACAAAACAAAAATTTAATTGATTCTTTCTAAAAAAGGATACCGATCATATCTGAATTATGCACAAAATTTTAATTAAAGATACATGCAGTAATGTATATTGTACCAAAATAAGGTCAGTTACAAAGCTTGATCAATTAATTAAAATTCGTCCCTACCATAATTTATTTCGTCCCTTCTATAATTATACAAAAAAATGTTAACTAAATTATACTACTAATAGAGATTTGTATCATAATTAAAAAATAATTCTCATTGAACTACTACTTTCATTAATTATGTTTCCATTATAATTCAAATTTTTAATATTGTATTAAAATTGTCAAGTGACTTTTTTTTTAGTTTGTCACTTGGCTTAAGCTTATGTTTCACTACTCTCCTTTTAATATAATATAGATTGCCGGCTTTCGTCCGAAATTTAATAAAGGGCGCCGTGGTTTGTTTTCGTGCCACCGGAACACGCTTTGCAAACCCCGTCACATTTTCCATTGAACTTTGAAAAGGCAAAACGAAAAAGAGGATATAAAGGTAAATTTGTCTTTGAATCATTGGCACTATGTAAGCATAAAATAATATTCACTCCGGTCCATAATAAGTCATTAATTTGTTTTTTAATTTTGGTCTAAAATAAGTGTTTATTTATATAATCAAAAAAGAATTTAATTTGCTTTTACAAAATTACCCCTAAGTACATATTCTTAAAAAGTTTTCTTACTTCTCACATTAAATATTTAATTAAGGGTAGTTTAGTCATATTAGGTATTTTTGTATAAAATTTAGTATTTTCTTAATTGGCGTGCCAAAAGCAAATTGGTCACTTATTATGGATCGGAAGGAGTATCTATCCATGCGTATCAAACCACATTAATTTGTTACTCTATAATGATAAATTGATAGATACTATACATATTAATTAATTATAATTAAACACATATTGCGCATTTATTGGATTGTAATAACATGTCATGTTTCAAATTATTACTAGTCTTTTAGGTTAACAATTGTGTAATAGTTGTATTTATTGGACCTTATAATATGGTGTTATGGACAACTTGTTATTGTAGTAATAACTGATATTCAGAGTTTGATGGTTCAGATGATCACTCAACTTAGGATAATTTGTCATCAAAGTCATGTAATTTCTTTTTGTCTTTCAAAAATCAATTAACTTTAGATAATTAACCATTAAAGTCATATACTTTTCTTTCGCCTTTATAAAATCATTCAACTTTATCTAGTTCACTTAAATGGTCTTTCTTGCTAGATTTTGTACTTTGCAGTGAGATTTAATGACATGAAAAAAAACATTAATTTTAAGAAAAAATTATTAAAATACTAATTTAAAACCTAAACCATTTTAAAACCAAACACAATTGGTTACCTAATACTTGACTCATCTCACATATATCGATCGACTTTAACAGCTTCTCTGCTCCATATGCAATTATAGTTAATTTGAAAGTTTTGTACTTTTGGACAGTGATTTTGTATAATTTAATTTTTCCATCTTAAATTTTATGTTATATTAAATTTAAAAGTTAAAATGAACTACTTATGAAAAAAATTGAACACAGCTAACGGAAGAGCAAGACAGACTTCTGAAAGTCAGCATTCAATAGATATTTTTCAAATCAAATGCTCTCAACTACTTAGAATTATAGTTCTTCAACCGAAAAATTCAATGATATTAATCATCATTGTAAAAGTTATTATAAAAATCCAATGACACAATTCAAAATTTTGTAAAGTTTGTTTAACCTTAACAATACTTCTTGTAAAATTTAAGAGTCGTAAAGAATTCTCAGATATTTTTCAAAGGGTTTGCGATTTTTTCAAATATTTGAAAGATTAGATTGTTGTAAATTGGATGTAACGTAATTTTTGAGATGATAACTAAAAAAATTCAATGGTATAAATCATTATCCAAAAGTACAAAAGTTTTTGTTAACTATAATTGTCGACCCTTATATGTGGGATGGGTCATGTGTTAGGTAAACGAGTGGTTTATGTCTTTAAATAGTCCAGGCTTTAAATTAGTATGTTAATAATTTATTCTTAAAATTAATTTTGTCATGTTACTAAATCTCAGTGTAAAGTACAAAATCTGGCAAGAATGACCATTTAAGTGAACTAGGTAAATTTAAATGATTTTTTTAAAGAAAAAAAGAAAATTATATGACTTTGAAGGCCAATTATCCAAAGTTGAGTGGTTTCTAAAAGACAAAAAATTTATATAACTTTGAAATACAATTTGCAAAAGTTGAATGACCACCTAGAGTCATTGTCTCCTCTCCTGTTGTTAATAGTTAACAATGGAGCTATAATTAACAATTCTCTACTAAAAAAACATATCAGCCCTATACTAAGAAAATAACTTTTAGTAGTAGTAAAATCAACTAAATGATTCTCAACTCTCTTGGTATGTTAAGCAAGGACTACTAACATACGCTGGTAGGGATGGCTCGACAGAAGAAGAGGAACTCCATAGCTAACATGAAGAACACGGATGAAGAAGATAAGGTAGAAGAAGATGATACTAGGTTGGTTACTCCATAAACGGGAATTTCCCAAACCCTAGGGTCGGTTCAACTGTTCCATTGGATGAAAGGAATGGTTAGTGCAGCACCAACAGTACTGCATGGCCAGGAGAGGAAGGAATCGATGGAGTCGGTGGAAATTCAAGCTCCGGTGGTAAAGTCACATGCAGATCCAATACAAAATGAGACTGATATGGCCACGGCGGCAAGGAAATTAACCTTCTCGACGGGTTTAGGGCTTCACAACCAA